TATTAGCCTAAATAAGATTATTAATTATCTTATTAAGCGGGATTACAAGTACAAATTTCTTTTAAGCATGCATAAAAGGCGTGATCAAGCAATAAAAATAATAATATCAAGCAACATAATAACAATCATAATAATATTCTCAATAAAGCATAATAATATTAATAGCAAGATCCTAGGCATGATAATAACAAGAATAATGACAAATCCTAGCATGTCACTAAACATTAAAAATCAAATCTTTAGCCCTTATATGATACTAACATGATGGAAAGAAAGAATAGGAAGCATCTTAGAAACATACATGATATTAGAAATATTAGTTATTACCCTAAACATGATACTAGGAATTAAAAGAATATAAGCATGATTTCTATATCAAAATAATAATTAAAGTAATTAAATTATTTACTTGGATGCCTCGTATGTCTTTCTAATAACAAAATACACGCGTTAGTAACTTCAATGAAAATAATAAGTCAAACAATTAAATTAAATAATTGAAATAGGGATTTGGGACCAAACCCTAAGAAAATATCAACCTTTCACCTCTAGGGAGAAGGAAACTTCGAACTTGGCTAGGTATGTCTAGAACTAATGTATGCGAAATTTTGTAAAAGGGGAAGGTTTAGAAAGAAGGAGAAAGAATAAGCTTCTAGCTTAAGAGAAAGAAAGAGTTAGAGAATTCTAGGTCCCTTGAAAGCGCAGGCCAAGGACCCTATTTATAGAAAAATAGTCCGAAAACCAATAGAAAAGATATCAAGTTCCATTCGGAATTAAAAACCTCATGTTGCGAACGACAGGAGCCAACGCCAAACGACAAGAACTAGCGCCAAGCGACAGACTTTGTCGTCTGGCGATAGGCTTGTCGCCTTGCGCTGAGTCAGAAATAAAACGTGCTTTAATTGTACGCGAAATCCTTTTCTTAATATGATTAAGCCGTAAATTCAACGTTTATCAAATTAAAACCGGGTTTATCATAAAACACTTATTTTATTCCAAATAAAACTCCTTTAAAATATAATAATCAATCCTAATTCCATTAGAATTCAAAAGAACCTTCTAGATTATTCTTGAAGATTAAAGTCAATCCTAGTAATTTTAGGAATAATAATTAATAAGACTCCTCTAGATCATTGGGCCGCATATAAAATTCATTTTCGGGCCCAATTTAGTACTTTGGCCATAACTTCCTCATTATTCACCGGAATTGGGCTTATAATATATCGTTGGAAAGCTCTTTGCGAGCTCAATTCAACTACACTATTATTGGACCCTTATCATGTACCAAACTAAATATGAATGGATATTTTCATAAATAGTGTATATTTTCAAAAACAGAAAGAGAGATATTTAAAAATAACCGCATCACTAGACTCTTCACACTTTAACTTCTTTTGAATATCAAATGACGTGAAAGGTATTTATCACTAGGTTGTGTTTTGGGGAGAGACATTTTGGTTTCTGCAATATTATTTAATCACTATATTCTTGATAAAAAAAGTAAGTACATAATAGTAGGTTATGCAGTATGAATACTTGAATCATAAACTTTATAAAATTAAAAAAAAAAGAGAGATTTTAAACTTACATCAATATCCATATTATTAATCTCATCATTAGTGGGATACTCTTTAGGAATCCTGTACATTACATATCTAGCTTTCTCATCTTCAACTTTCAAATCAATGCTAGCAGATTGTACTCCCTAACCTTACTTCTTTTCAACAAAATCTTCATCATTATCTTCAAGTTTAAACTCAATGGTATCCAGCTAAAAAGATTTTAAAAGAGCCCTGTTCACTTCTCCCAGCATACTATAATGGTAATGTCTGAGGATACAGCTTCATAGAACCATAATTGATATTTTCAGCAACGGCCTTAATCCTCTCATTTAGACTTTCACAAGTCCCAAACTCAAACTTCTGCAAAAAAGCAATTATAAACACAACCAGACAGCCATTTACTTGTTTTAATTTAGTTTTCACTTCCTCTCCTGCCTTATTCTTCAAAACAAAAGCCTGAAAGTCTGCTATTGAATCACATAACTAATCCATCACATAACCAGCCTAGTTGTAAGTCTTTATGAAACGTACATCTTCTAAAGACTTGATGATCTTAAAATTGGGGGACTTATCACCAATTGGAGCAAAAAAATAGATACATCAAACATAACAAAAAGTCTCTTGAATCCATAACCCCCCCTCTATATTTCTCAAACAATGTTTGTTAAGTAACAAAATTGACATGTCTTCTTCTTCTTAATTTGAACTGCTTTTTCAGATTCCTTCTTCTTACTCTGAACACCTTTTTCAGATTCATCTCCAATTTTCCTCTTCTTTTTCTTGTTAGTTTCAGATTCATCTCTGTTTTCCAATTCATCTTCTATATCCAAACGCAAAAACTTCCTCCACTCTAACTTCAAACTGTCATCAGGATTAAATCCTTTCATGTTTTTAGAAATCTATTTCACAGTTAGATCGGTATAAGGAATACCCAAAACATCAGCAATATCGGAACTATCAATATGTATGGCATGTTCCTTTTTACCATTAATAATATTTCTAGCCTTGGGATTATAATGAGTTACTATATAACTGTACAACTGATGGCTAATATTTTCCTTCAAATTCATATGAAGCAATCAACCAAAACTAATGTCTATGACATCCTTCTTTTGCTTATCACTTAAATCTTCCAAAATTAGACAAAGATGATTAGGACCAAATTTATTACCAAGTTCTAAGTCTGAAATATCATATTTAGTAAGAGAACTGAAAAATTGAAAAGTAAAAAATCACATTAAAATTGTAAGCTAAATAAAACATTATTATTCCTAATAATAATTATGTTATTCCTGATAATAGAATCTTATTTCTGAGCATAAATATCTTTTTCCTGACAAAAATAAATTCATTTCTGACCAAAATAATCTTATTCTTGATTAAAAAATTGTTATTCCTAACTAATGTAATGTGATAACACATATATCTTATTACTGATTAAAGTAATCTTATTTCTGATTGAAGTAATATTATTCCTTACCTGATGTAATTTAAATACAGTCAAAAAAGATTCTGGCCAAAAAAACCTAAATCCTGACAAACAAATACTATTATCAAAATAAAATAATCTAATTCAAGACAAGCTAATTAGCATATATGATTTATCACAAAATAATAAGCTAATTTCTGATAAAAATAATATAATTCCTAACAAAGTAAATATGAATCATGACAAAAATAATCTATTATCAAATTACAATATAATTACAATAACAATAAGCAAATTCTATACAAGAATATTCTACTTAAATACCAGAAATGCTATATTTCCCAAGAAAAAAATTCTATATAAAACAACAAGTACAGAATGCTATGTCTTTTTGCGAATTAAATATAATAGAATTTCACACCTAACATTATGTCGACTTCGTTTAGAACTAGGTTTAGGACCACGTTTCTTCAATGGAGCTTCTGATTGATCCCTATAGAACGAAATAATAACTTATAAAAATGGATTTTTAAAAAACAGTTTAACCTAAAAATAACTGAAATATAATAAACCTTTCAGCCATTGAACCGTCTTCTTCTACTTTCGTGCTTGTTTACTTAAGATAAACTTTTAAGGGAGAAGAATCCATAATCGACGGAACGTCAGCCATTAATGGAGTCGAGAATGACGAAAGTTAGGGTTTATATAAAAGAACTAAAAATTAAATACATGCAAATAAAATTAAAGCTGGAAAATGAAGTAGTGATGCGAACTATTCGGAAAAATGAAGTTAAGTCGATAGTAATGGAGTGTAACTAATGAAAATGGAGTGAAAATGCAGAAAACGTGGGTAAGAAGAAGGAGAAGGCGGAACGTTGGGTTTGATTTTGATTTTTTTAACAAAATCAAGGATATTTAAAGTTCGGGCCACGCGCTTTCTGAACTTTAAGTAAAGGGGCCGAGCACGAGCCGATTAATTGAACGGAATCACATGAGTCCGTTTGACACAATATTTTTCGATTTATAAAACTAATCATATAACTAATATATAAAGCTAAATTTTTCAGGCAGGTCATGAGACAAAGACATTTGACATTTCAACTTTTCGCCAAGTGTCGTGCTACCTTGAATGGATTTGGATAAATTTTGTAGGATAAAGAAGTTAGTTTAAAGTTCTATCTTCAATTAATTTTGGATAAAATTGTACGACAAAATTTTTAGTTTAGCGTTTAATTTTTGATATACAATAGTAATATTTCATATGTACAAATTAAATTTTAATTTATTAAAAAAAATATTAGATTATAATTCTCAATAATTATCATCTAAATTTATTTTTTATATCATAATATTTTTTAGAGTGAAGGAAGTAATTCAAAACGTACCACATTCATTTGTATATAATATATTCTAAACGATTCAAACAATATAGTTCACAATATAATATGATTTTATTACTGTATGCAGACCTGTCAATCGGGTCGGATCATGAGTCATTTCAGATCGGGTTAACCCAACGTGCTTAGAGAATATTTTTTTGTTTTTTTACTATTTTTTGTGTATTAATAGTCATTACACGTCTATTACATCGTTTAAATCGTTGTAAAAGCGCATCAATTTATAACTAATTTTGAATTAATAATGATATTTTTAAAATTTGACATATAGATACAAAAAATTAATCTTAAAAATCAACAAACAAATCGGACATCGCACGGGGCACAAAACTAGTAAAAAACAAAAGTGATCTTAGCATATCATATAATCAATGATAGTCCATACATATTTCGATAACTCAATTATGATTGTGACATGATTTCTAAACTGATCATACAAATAGCCAAATAATAATGTGATAATGTTAATACAAAATACCGTATAAATTTGTATAGTATAAAATATGATAAACTAAAATGATACGGAGTAACAATCAATAATTAAAAATGAACCGACGTGTTTAAATCTCGAATCGATATGAAACCAAACCTACTTCAATTTAATAAAACTTGTTTAGACTCGGTTTAATCCGACCAATATTAATCCAAATCATATAGACCATTTTTTTTCCAACGATGCAAATCGACCCGCCACTAACATGAACCCGGCGATTTGACCAGCTACTCGATAAACTAGACTGGTTTAATCCCCGACCTGATTACAAATGATCTGACAAGAACTCAAGCCCGCAGTATCCCAGGCAAACCCACTCCCAAAATGACCCGTTCAAAACAATCTGAGTATGACTCGAACAACTTATGGCCCAAACTATTTACAACCTTAACCAAACAAAAACCGCCCAAAAATAAACCAAAATTGATTCGACTCGATTAATGGAACTGAACTACACCGCAATGATGAACCCGTTTTAAACCGAAACCATTTCTTTCAGAATCGAATCCGAATTGACAGTGCTAGCTTACGTATGTTCTTCAAATCTTTCATAAAACCGAGTAATGGGCGGGAATTGCTGTTGGCGGCGATTAATGCAGCATTCCTGTGTTCGTGCTTTCAGAAAGCATTTCTCCATCAGTTCACTTACCAGCACCAGAATTGTAACACCGCCAACATCCAAGAACTTCAATACCCAAAACAACTTACAGAATTTAAATCAACTTCAATTCTCAGAAAAAGATATAATCAAATGGAATACCCAGATAACCAATTATATGAGAAGAGGCCATTTCGAATCAGCTCTCGAACTCTTCCATTCAATGCCAAGTAGAACTGTTGTTACTTGGAATTCAATGATATCTGGTTATTTGTGTAATCGCAGATTTCGGGATGCCCACCAGATGTTTGATAAAATGCCAATGAGAGACTTGTTTTCTTGGAATTTGATGTTGAATGGATATGTCCTGCACCAGAATCTTGCTTCTGCTAGATGGTTTTTCGAGAAAATGCCTGTAAGAGATATCGTGTCTTGGAATACAATGTTGTCGGGGTATGCGCGTGGTGGGTTTGTGGATGAGGCTAGGGAATTGTTTGCTAGGATGCCAAGAAAGAATTCTATATCATGGAATGGAATGATTGCAGCATATGTGCAGAATGGGAGAGTTAATGAGGCTGCTTTGTTGTTCGAGTCAAGAGGAGGGTGGGAATTGGTATCATGGAATTGCTTGATGGGTGGGTATGTGAAGGCCAATAGGCTGGTTGAAGCCAGAGAAATTTTTGATAGGATGCCTGACAGAGATGAGGTTTCATGGAACACTATGATATCAGCTTATGCTCAGAATGAGCAGCTATCTGAGGCCCACAGTTTGTTTATGAAGTGTCCGAGCAGGGATGCATTTACTTGGACAGCAATGGTTTCTGGTTATATACAAAATGGTAGGTTGGATGAAGCTCGGAGAGTATTTGATCAGATGCCACAGAAGGGTGTAGTATCATGGAATTCTATAATTGCAGGTTATGTATATAATAACAGCATAAATGTTGCCAGGGAACTCTTTGAGGCAATGCCTACTCGTAGTATAAGTTCTTGGAATACAATGATTAGTGGCTATGCTCAAAGGGGTGATATTCAAGAAGCTAGGAATTTGTTCAATATGATGCAAGAGAGGAATTCTATCTCATGGTCAGCGATGATTGCGGGTTATGCTCAAAGTAGTCGTAGCGAGGAGGCTTTACTTCTATTTGCAAAGATGCATAGAAATGGAGAGAGATCAAACAGATCGGTGTATACCTGCGTTTTGAGCACATGTGCTGATACTGGTGTTTTAGAATTAGGTATGCAAATGCATGGGCAAGTCACTAAAATAGGTTATGAAAGTGCAACCTACGTAGGAAATGCATTAGTTGCTATGTATTGCAAGTGTGGAAGCATTCATAAAGCGAACTGTGCCTTTAAAGGCATACTTGAAAAGAATACTGTTTCATGGAATACTATGATTGTTGGCTATGCAAGACATGGGTTTGGCCTACAAGCTCTGGCAGTATTTGAGTCAATGACTAAATGTGGGACTAGAGCCGATTATACGACCATGGTATTTACACAAATCTATTTGTTTATGTACATAAGATGTTTATTTCAGACCCTTTATTTTATGTGTTCAACTATTACACTATATGCATTCACATTTGTACAGTACTAGGACTCTGAGCATTATTTGAATCACATGATATTTGCTTTGAGTTACATGGATTTTTTCTTTTCTTTTTTTTTTTTCTTCTAGTTAGGAGGATCACTTGATCAGTGGGGGTGAGAGTAGACAGAATCTTCTGGTTGAATCATGACACAGAAACTTGTACAAGTTAGGATGATGATTAAAACAGAATTGATGAAATTTGGGGGAAAAAAACATGTACTGCCGTCTAATGGCTATTCACAACTTGGCCTGTATGATGTTGCCCCTTTTTATTTGTCTGTCCTTGATGTTAAACAATAATTAATATTTGTTACTATTGACACTGTAATTATTCTTGTTTCACATATTACATACTGGCATACCCAACTTCATACAGAGCATGGTCAAGCATTCCCAAAATGAAGCTTCTTTGTGTTATACATTCCTTTTTCAGTCACACAGTCAATTTTGTGTCAAGCATAAAGTTGAATGTCTCTATATCATAGTTATTTATAGATTCATATCTAAGCTAGAGGAATGCCTCCATACTGTCCATAGCTAATTTGGTAACTGCTAATTATAGATATTGACATCCGGCACCTAATGCCCATTCCTATGTCTATATCTGATGGGGCTTACGACACAGTCTCTGACCTGTCTCCTTAATAACAGTTTTGTGCAGCTCCTTAACATGCATGGTCATCTCATTTAGGTCTGGTCTTTACTCCATGATTTCTAGTCTTCAACCCAAAAATAAAAAATTAAAAGAGCTGTATGATTCATTGTCAAAAGAAATGCAACATTTTTTTTTTTAATTAGAATGGTAAGAAATGCAACATTTTAATATAATATTTAATAACCAAAATATAAAGAATAAAGAAAATTTGACTCCAAAGTAGCATATAATATCCAAACATAGACGCTTCTGTGCTGTTATCTTAGCTTTTATTGCAATGTTTATTGGACGGTTAATTTCGTCTTCTACACCCAAAAGGAGTATGCCAATTGCTATTCGATTCACAATTTTAGATTTGGAGCATTTAGAGAATAAGAAAAGTATGAATTTGTGATTGAGCTAGTTAGATTGGGGTTGAAATGGTAGGTAACTTGAAGTTATAATATTCTCAATTGTGTCTCTGAATTATTTTTTTCCTTCACCTACGTGTGATATTTGCAGGATATCCACATGTATATGGATTTCTTGTTCCCTTGCTATTTCTCTATTTTTCTCTAAATTTTTAGTAGCTGTGTGTAATTGAATTGAAATCTAATTATAAGAAAGGGGAGAGGTAAAAATATCATTACTGGGCATTGTATTTTTGTTTACGCTTTGGTTTCTACTAGCTTCCTTTGTTCTTGAAACTACTATCAGTGGTTTCTAGCTGCACCATTATTTCCCAGAAGATGTCTTTCCCATCTATATTGTGCTGGTAAATCTGAGCCTAATATGTTTGAAGACTGCTTACAGGTAATGTTTTGCAAATACCGAACCAAATTAATTGCATGTACAAATAGATTCATTAATACCTGTGACAAAGGAGTAAAACTGGAAACTACTTCCTCTTGTTCATTTTTCTTTTCACTTTTAAATACCCTTGTTTACAAAATGTCTTGCTTATTGGATTGATTGGCCTTTCAGGTGGCTGTGCTGTCGGCCTGTGCTCATGCTGGTTTAGTTGACAGAGCCAAACAATATTTCTATGCTATGTACTCTGATTATGGCGTAGTACCAAGCCCACGACACTATACATGTATGATTGATCTTTTAGGTCGATCAGGAAATTTAGATGAAGCACAGAATTTGGTTAGGAACATGCCATTTTCACCAGATGCTGCAACGTGGGGTGCCTTGCTTGGTGCAGCTAAGGTTCATGGGAATATTGAGCTTGCAGAAAAGGCTGCTGAGAAAATTTTTGAAATGGAGCCTGATAACTCGGGAATGTATGTGCTTCTTTCAAATTTATATGCGGTTTCAGGGAGATGGTATGATGTTCGACAAATGAGATTGAAAATGAGGGACAAAGGGGTTAAAAAGGTGCCTGGGTATAGTTGGCTTGAAGTGCAAAACAAGATCCATACATTTGCAGCTGGCGATACTTGCCACCCAGAAAAGGATAGGATTTATTCATTCTTAGAAGAGTTGGAATCCAGAATGAAGCAAGATGGCTATGTGTCATCCATAAAGTTGGTGTTACACGATGTTGATGAGGAGGAAAAAGAGCACATGCTCAAGTATCATAGTGAAAGACTAGCTGTTGCTTATGGGATTTTGACTCTAACGAAAGATAAACCTATACGTGTTATGAAAAACCTGAGAATTTGTGAAGATTGCCATACAGCTATTAAGCACATTTCGAAGCTTGAAGGAAGGCTTATTATAGTAAGGGATTCTAACCGGTTTCACCATTTCAAGCAAGGAGAATGTTCGTGTGGGGATTACTGGTGAGAATGAAGAGATTAAAATCGAAAATAGTAAAAGATGCAGCTGCTTTCCATCATCTGGCATAATTTCATATTAGCTGTGGCTTTTGGAATCAATTGCCTGGCTTTTGTTGACGAACAGCTAAGCGGTATTGAACAAGATTACTCTTTTGGACAGTAAGGTCAAGCTCGGGCATGTTACTGAAACGGGATAGTCTTGTCTGCAGAAATTTTCAGCTATTACTCCAGATTAAGTTTGGTATTTGGTCTGAGACAGAAGCTGTATTATATGTAGCTGCCTGAAGCTATTAATGTGATTTTGATTGAAAGAAATGAAAAAGTTTTTAAGCAACAATGTAAGTCAACTGAGCAAGTGTTCAGAAAAAATCAAGTAAATAAAAATCAAGTTGCTTGAAAGAATTCTACTAATATGAGGTATCTCATATGTAATTTCTTTCATTTTGACGAACTGGTGCTTGTTAATTTCGGAGCAGGTCAGATAACAGATGTTTGGAGCTGCGACAATATGAAGAGCTTGTTTTTCAATGTATATAAGTTGGTCAAGTAGACCCTCCAGTGATACTGCAAACGAAGTAGTGAAAATGATGTTCCTATGATGAAGCAATTCTTGTTATGTTAGAAATTATGAGAAATCTCTGTTCTCCTCTGTTATGCAGTTAAGTTTGGTGGTAAGTGTCAGATCTGTTCATACTTGGCTCTCTTATTTAATCAAATAGATGCAGGAAAGAATTCTGATCTGAAACCTATGTACCTGTTGCAATCAGATGCAATGGTGCGCTGAGGTCATGTACAGTGATGCTATTTCAAGGTCCTTAGTTGTTTAGAACTCTGGGATTGTACAGAAAGTGGACCAAAAGGAAGCAACTGATTAAGCATAAATTAGTGATATTACTTGGTGCAATTTTCATCTTTATCTCTTCCTCGAAGCAGGTGTATAAAAATTGATGCATCACATACTTTTGATGATACACTTCAAATTTGTATTTCATCACATAGTTTTGATGATAAACTTCAAAATATGTATTTCACTTTTGGTGTTAGTAAATCAAAATTTTATTGCAAAATATTGTCATAACCAGTTATGTTGGACAAAATGTTGTTTGGACTTTATATATGATGCCTTAAAGATGTGCAGGAGAATGAGATGACTAAAGGGTACGATTGGAAAATGCCTTGGATGTGTATGATTCTGGCATGTGCCTGCTAATATTTGATAGCCTGCCTTTTCCTTGTTTACAAAGATTGCTTTTTGGTTCTCATACTGGGGATGAATGGCACTATAATTTAACTGATTGGATTACTTTTCTCCCCTTTTGTAACATAAATCTTGTTAATGCTAAGAATTTTCTATGGAAATGGAACTGGTGTACCTGAGTACATTACTTAAAAATTTCAAGCAAGCTTTCACGGTTTATCTGACCTGTCCAGACCCATGGGAGATTGGGGGTAACGCTAATGCACTGAATAGGGGATAGGGATACACTGTATGAATGACATTACTGTACTGCTGGTGAAGAAGAAAAAATGAGATTGAAAAGAATGGCGTCTTGCAGCTTTGTACCAGTGGATGCTTGGTCTGGAACTTGCTTTACTCTTGGCTCATTTCCAGCATGGCAGCAAGCAGTGACAATTATCTGGCAGTGGAATGATTAGCAATTATATGAGGATGGAAAAAGGGGTGGGGGTGGGAGTGGGAGTGGGAGTGGGGACAGAGATAGATTGAATTATCTTGTGGATAACGACACTTTATTTTGATTGTTCAATTGTGATTGAGTACGATAGTATGCATCTGTTGTTGAAATTTAGTCCTTTCATATGTCCAATGACTCCAATCCAATAACTAACCTCCTCATATATATATTTTTTTTCACACAAAAGAGGAGAATATATATATATTGCGAGGGCTGAGCCCAAATTACCCATCAAGGAAAAGCGTAAAGCAAAATGCTTTCCTTGAGAGACATAGTCACCATAGTTCCAAAAGTTCAAAGCAATAGCAAAACTGAAAATACAACCACAGAGGATAAAACAAAGTAGATTGTTCAAGTCGGGTATCATTTGGATTTTGTGGTATTTTGTTGTTAGAGAAAGTGATGGAGTGAGCATTTCGTTGCTCACTGCTACTCTCGATGTTTTACGAGGAAAAGTGGGTCCTCCTCATTTTTTAATTTTTCAAAAATTGTTAGTTTAGATGAACTACTACGAGAGGGGGGTGAATGGTAATAGGTTCCAATCGCGGTACTTATGCGGAAATTAAAAACAAAGCGTAAAGGAACTTATAGCACACAACAAGTTTTACGAGGAAACCATCCAGTGCCTAGCTGAAAGTAAAACCTCGGCCCCATTGGGACTTATGAACAAATTCCACTATAATAGGCAACTCTCCTAGTACAACCTATTACACAGACCTTTGCTTCGCAAGTTCCTCCTGGACACTTGCTAATTGATAATAACCTATCCTATCAGACCTAAGACACACTCAGGCACCTTTTTCGACCCAAGACACACTCAGGTTCCTTTCTCGACCTAAGACACACTCAGGTTCCTTTCTCGACCTAAGACACACTCAGGTTCCTTTTTCTCACTGTGCAACCCAAGACACACTCGGGGTGACTAACTACCACTCGAATTTTAGAGAATTCAAACTCATACACTCAAACGTGAATTTAAGAGAATTCACAATCTCACCCCAAAACCAATTACAACACAAAGACACACTCTAACACATAAAAGGAAAGCTACACATGAAACCCGAAATCAAAATGATAAAGCTTAAACCTTTGGCAAACTTACTCTTAAGCACTAAGTGGTTTTCACGCTTAAAACTCTCAGTTTACTTTGCTGAACTACTTCTATATTTATAGATGTTCCTCAACTAACAAAGTAGGGTTTTCGTAAATAAGATAAGTTAAACATAAATCTAATCTTATCTTTTAAAACATATTTAATTTCGCTTTATATGAAAACCAGATTTTATCAAATTCGTTTTAGTTAAAAGATAGAATTTTATGAAAAATATAAAACCGAGTTAAACTAGATTTTAAAAGATAAAATCAAATAAATACTTTTTCATAAAACTTGTAATTATCTTTTACGAATTAATTAGTTTGCCAAGCTTTATCTGATTTCTAATAAGTTCCATGCATAACAACCATTAATGAGTTTACATCAATCTACAAAACAAACTTATCTTTTATACAACTATAAGTTATGAAGTCCATCTTTTTCGGTTGATATCTCGATCTTTGCACTAATCCTTGGTTGTTGAGGCTTGCCCCAGCATTACACCGGAACCAGGTCGTTACAACCCGTTTTGAAGTTCCTGTTAAGAAACTTCGGGAAGTTCAATTTCTGGAACTCTTCTTCTGGCTTTACTTGTCCTCATGGATCTTCTAAAGTTCCTTTGTCTCAGTTCATACTTCAGCTCCCGACGCTTACTGAACCTACAAACATCACAACACTAGAAAATCCTTATTAAAAGGAAGTTTGCTAAATTCTTAACATCATCATCAAAACCTCATAAGGGTCAACAATTTCCCCATTTTTGATGATAGCAAACTCCTGAGGATAATAAATAAAGAAACAGAAGGTTAATTTTTCGTTTTTCTATTTTTTTTCATACACTACTAGAAAACAGGCTAATTCCGACGGATTGGTTACGACGGACTCAAAATTCCGTCGGAAAAAAGCTAATTTTCCGACGGATATTTCCGACGAATTAAAAAATTCCGTCGGAAATTTACGACGGATTAAAAATCCATCGGAATAAATGTTCATTGCGACGGAATTTTCCGTCGTAAATTACAATTTTCGACGGGATTATAGTCTGTTGAAAATTTCCGACGGAATTTTCCATCGTAAAATAATTGAAAAAAAAATTAAAACTGATTTTTCTCCTTACCCTAAAACGCACCCCTTCTCCTCATTTCCCCCTTCTCTTGTTTCCGCCTCCCTTTCTCTTATTTCCCCCTTCTCTGTTTCTCTCTCATCTTCTCTCCTTCATTCCTCCTCTCCGCCAATTCTCTTTGTTTTTTCCTCTTCTTCGTCCCCTCTTCTTTGCTCCTCTTTCCTCTTCTTTACTTCTCGTTCTCCTTCTCACTCCTTTCTCTTTCCACCGCCGACGACACTACCACCCGCCGCCACAAGATCGAACACCAACATAAACAACACCAGGTCGAATATCCGGACCCAACCCCCCAAACGCGATCTCCAACGGTGCAAATGAAAGTTTTTAGGCCAAATTCGACCACAAAAACTCTACATCTAGAGTTTTCGTGGTCGAATTTGGCCTCTTAAACCTAATTTCGAGGTTTTTGTGGTCAAATTAAGGTAAGTGTATTTTTAAAAAAAAATTTGTTGTTTAATATTTTTTTTTTTTTTTTTTTTTTTTTTTTTTTGGTGGTAGCTGTTGGGAGTTCGAATTTTTCTTAATATTTTTGTTGTGAAGGTCTTTTCGGAGGCAGTAGTGATGGTTTTAGGTGGGTGGTTTGGCAGCAGTAATGATTAGGGTTGTAGATATGGTTTTGTGTGGGTGGAAGATATGTATTTGGGTGGGTTAAGGTTAGGCGGGTCGGTAGGGATTTTGGTTTTGATTTTGGTGGTTGAGTTAGGGGGCTGGTGGTGTAGGCTAGTGTGGGGGTGTTACGGGCTGTTGTGGGGGGTGGTACATACGGACTAGTGTGGGGGTGGTACATACGGACTAATGTGGGGGTGGTACGCGCTGGTGTGGGCTCGGGGGTCGGTACGGTGGCGTAGCGGGTGGTGGTGGGTCGTCTGGGAGGCTTTTTTTTTGTTTTTTTAAAAGCATTTTTCGACGGATTTTCCGTCGTAAATTTCCGACGGAATACAGTCCGTCGTAAATTTCCGACGGACTATTTTGGGCCCAAAAATAACTTCCGGCGGACTGAATTCCGTCGAAAATTCAGTCGAAATAGTGGTTCCGACGGAAATTCCGTCGGAAAAGGCCCATTTTCCTACAACAGTTTTTCCGACAACAACAACGGAATTCCGTCGTTATTTGCCTATATTCTAGTAGTGATATAGGCTAAGTAAAGAACCAAAACAGAACGAAATGACTGAATAATAAAAACAGAAAGAAAGAATGAAAAACAAACAGAAATCAAATAAAAATTGAGAGAAGAGAACAACCTTTGTTACTTACTTAATTGGAACTAGAACAACTTCAGCTTCCAAGTTTGCTCCCGCTTTTCTCCCTTTTGTCATTATCAAAAACCTGACTTTTCAAAGTTGTATTCATCTACTCACTCCCCCACAGGCAATTCATCGAATGAGGGAAGCTGGAAGCAGCGCAGGCTAGCTCTCTTAAGCTAGTACTTTCACACAAATTTTCTTGTTTATTTGCAGAATGCATGCATATAAAGACAAAGTTCCATAGTATTTAACAAAAACCAACCATCTAGAGTACTGAAAAATATTACAGACCAAGTTCCACAATATCCAAAAGCAAACAAAGTTAAAAAACAACCAAAGAAAACATGTCATTGTTCCAAAACCAATATAAACCAGATTAAGCTAAGGGATGGCTAGGATTAGGCTGCAAGGTTGATCAGGTTTCAAGCGCTTTGAGGATCTGCTCAAGCTCTTCCTTATTTTCTGCTTGAGCTTTCTTCAGTTTGGCTTCCAGGCTTAAAATGGATTTTTGAAAATCTTTTGCTTGAGAGGCATTGTTCTCTCCATTGCCTTCATCTTCCCTGCCATGTCAATGAGTTGTCCTTCAACCTGCATAAGTCTGTTAGACAAATCAATGATTATCTCATTAGCTCCTCTATCTCCTTCATTTAACTCCAAGGGATTGATTGCACTTGTCCTGGTCTGAGTTCCAACTGAGAGCCTTCTGCTCTTCCTAACAGGACCTCTCAGTTATGGCTCCTCTTCCTTCCCTTTTTTCTTCTACGCTTCATACTTCACGCACTTCCCCTCACAACAACAAGGCTTAAT